TCATGGCCTGGCCATCATGGTGATAAGAAGAGGAAAGGCCAAAGGGCCATAAGGAACAGTGTACATGGTTCAGGTCAACAGTGTGAGGAGGCTGGACTCAAAGGGGAGGGAAGGCGGACAAGAATATTATCTGATAAGAATCACCAAGGTCTTTTGATCTGCGAAGGGCTGATCCTGGGCTACAGGGTGTCATGCTGGGCGGACGAGCAGAACGACACGGCAGGTACAAACAAGCGAGCCCTTGAAGATCATCTGGGGCTAAAGCATATTTACACAGGGAAGACTGGAAAGACTCTTCTGACTCACACACACAAGCATACAAGCTTGTTGTCCTCAAAATTTCACACTATAGCAGCATTCTTAACATGCTTAGCTATCATTTTTTAGTCAGAAAGCATGAGCAATGTCTCAGTTTCTGATAAAGTTAAGTGACCATCCAATTCCTGAATAATAATATAATAAAAAAACTATATTTGGCATTGGTATATCTTTGCCAATGTAAGCCAAATCAGACGACAAACTCAATATCCACAAATGACTTTGAGTCCACCGAAGAGAAGGTTGAATGTCACACAGTGGTCTGGTGGGTTTTGACTCATAAGTCACTGATTAAAAGCCGTCATGTGGTGACCAGACAGCACCTGGGGCTGTAGTGCAAGCTGTGGCCTGAACCAAATGCCTCGCTGTCTCGCCCAGGGCAAGATGGAGGAGGGATTTTTCTGCCTGGGGTGGCCAGTGGAGGGGGGGGGGGGGGTTAGCAAGCTGCTGCAAAGTTTAAGTGTCCCTTAGCAACAGTTAAAAACAAAAGAACAGATACATATGTACTTGTAGTTAAAGTCTGTCTCTTATTAACAGAACAACACCCAGCGAGGTGTCGTACTTGAAAGCTAAAAGACAAGTTTTTAATTGTCAATACATTTTGTAAAAAGAGCATAACTATTGCCTGTTTAGTCAAATATAGCTTATTCCTCTGTGCCAGACACCTCCATTGTTGTCCATTGAATGAATGACATGTTCCCTCATTACGATAAATATGGGCACTGTAGTTTATCTTGAGGTGATCCCTCCCACATTATTTTGCTACTGTAAATACTCGCTACAGCACCAAATGTGCATTAATCCACAGATGAAAATAATCCCAAACGAATGCACTATTTTTACACCTGTTTGAGTAAAAGCTGCTAAACAATTATAGTGGACAGTTGCGTTAGGGGATGGTTTAGCTGTAGGAAAGCACATATTTGTGATCCATTTTTAAAGATTCACATCTTCAGTAAAAACAAATGGGCTTGGAGCTGAGAGCCACAGAAAGTGTGAATGAGAACGTTTTGAGAGATGGACGGTGGGTTTAGTCTCTCCTCTGGGTTTGCTGAAAATAACAAAAATGCAGAATACTGTCAGCCTTATCCTCTGATGAAGTTATTTTCAGATAATCAGCTGATACCGCAACAAAGCCACAGAGCTCTGTTTTTAGGTTTTTATTTTTAGTGTGGGCCAACTAGAGCGGTGTCCTCCTAAATTTAGACAAACTTTCACCTCATGTCTGAAAAATAAGGATTATGATCTTTTAAATTTGTCTTTGGTTCACATCAAGCCAAGACAATGACAACAAAGTATCAGCAACCTGTTACATCCACGCTCCAATTAAAAGAATTAAGATGTAAGAGGCCTTCATTATCAGTTCTCTCTGAAGCACATCAAAGGCTGCGGTGTAGTGAGAGTGCAGCTGCCCTGATGGTGTGAGTTTCTCCTCTCTCACTCCAGAGGAACTTGTTTGTGTTGAGGATGTTTACTGATCCCAGGAAAGACAAACAGCCTCTTTCTTGTTTGTAGGTACCGCAACTCAAACACAGAGCTGTGTGTGTGTGTGTGTGTGTGTGCGAGAGAGAGAGAGAGAGAGAGAGAGAGAGAGAGAGCGAGGCAGAGCTTCAGGATGTATTGTATTGTTAGGTCACTGTTTATCTTGTCTCTGTCTTTTCACTCCACTTCCAAGTTTCCCATCAGACCCCGACCAAATTCAATGTTGCGAAATACAATTGGCCAAAAAAATATATATATATATGAGTAATGATAAATAAAAACACACCAAAAGGCAGTTACAAACACCAAATGTGAAATATCTGAAACCTGCATATAGTAATTAGGATTTCTTATTATGATAAGTGATGCTTTTAAATACTTAATTCTAATTATATTAGTAATAAACTTATTCATAACTCTGTCATGTGTGATCGACAGAAAAAGCAAACATTAAACTGTAGGATAGCTATATTTATGTATCCAACAATTTCTAAAAGAGATTGAGTTTTAATACTTCACCTGAACACATGGTGTCACTCTTTCTCATCTATGCTGATAGTCACTGGAGAAACCTCAAACCTCTCCCCAGCTGTTTGTTACCACATGGATCACACACCTTCATGCTGTCAACTTGTTGTAAACAATGTTTTTGGCATAACTGCAGTACAGTTCTCCAGACTCTTTAGGCCTGTGGTTAAATGTTGTTGTTACAACCTGTTTTAAAATGGTTAGAAAGAAGAATCAGAGTGGTGTACATTATGCTAATGTTTTGTGTTTTTTTTAATTGCAGATGTTGCATGTTGTACATTTGGCAAAGCCTAAATTTTGGATTATATAAATAAATTGATTTGTCTTGTTTTGAGTCTTATTCCTATTATCTTGTTGTAAAAATACATTTTTACTTATTTGTTTTTTATTTTAGTTTGGACTATGATAGCAAATGAATATGTCCACTCTCCTTTTATTTAAGCTGAAGACAAGGTAAAAGTCTGGGTTAAGCCACTTGTTCACTGAAATGATGACACTTCTCAATCAATCCCATAATTCATGTAATGCTAAGATGATGAGTAGCCTCACTTCCTGGCTGTCTGAAATACAGACCAATTGATGTTTGTATTGTCACCATGGAGTGTCTCATTCTGTGAGCTTGTATCAGCAAATGTCACTTTGTATTGTGGTTTCCTACCACAGATATAAATCCTGGGGGTAACAGGCTTTCACAGAGGTTTTATGGCACAGAGACTTCCCTTCCATTCTGCAGGGGGTATGGAGCTTTACGCCGTGTGTTCATGTGTCGCAGCCCTTTTAACTGGCACAGTACCAAAACTAGTATTGCAGTATTTCTCTATCCAGCATCCACGTCACATCACAGTTTCCAGCATCTCAAATATGAGCATTGCTGTGTTGTAAACTCATTGTAAAGTAAATATGTTTGGGTTTTAGGCAAAACACGTTATTTTAAGACGTCGGCTTTGGTTCTGGGAAACTGTGATTGCTATTTTTACTCTTCCTAACATGTTTTAGACATTTTTTACAATAATTGTTTAAATAATTAAAAATAATTGATTGATAATTAAAATAATTGTTGCTTGAATCACTAAAAGAGTGACAAATTAGATGGACAAAGACAACACTTATCACAACACAGCCACAGATGTGTAACAATATACAGTCTGAATATACAGTGGTGTATGTTGTGGATATATAATATTGGTGCATTTTGTCTTACATGTTTGTGCTCACTTCCTTGCTGATTACAGATCCATGCAATCTTAATGCTATGTAACATGTCAAACACAAGTTTAAATGCTGTACTACACTGCCATAAAGTCATTACAAATGCCCTTGTGAACTTTCTACAATCAGAAGAGTAAAAATAAAAAAATATTAGCCACATTATCCTCACAGCGCTCAAAGTAAAAGCAGTTACTATGCAGAATACATTTACATAGTGTTATTGAATAAATGCGGTGCAGTGAGAGGTAGCCTCTGAAATGTAATAGAGTAGAAGTAGCAGAAAATTGACAAGACTGCATTATCAAGCCAGGGCCCCAGATCTGCAGGTTTACTCCATATCATTTCAGTCTACATTATTTGATTCATTGCAAACTTGTCTGAAATTTGTTTCACAGAAGTGGAATGTCAACTATGATATCTTGTAGATTTGTCTTCAGGAGGGACAGAAATCCAATTTCCAGACATTATGTGCTTTAGTTTATGTTGTGCTCCTTTGATGTAAAGTTGTGTTTTATCAAATTGCTTTAACTTTTTCTTGGTCAAGTACAATAAGGCTACAATCAACAATCAACAATCATGTTCATTATCAATTATTTTCACCCAAGTTAATATATTCAAACTGCCCTTACTGTCTGACCAGCAGTCAAACATACAGATAAGGTGTTGAGTTTACTATCATGGTAAAATGGGAAACTAGAAGCTGGTACCAGCGAATTATTGGCAATTTTATTTGAAAAGTTACTAAGACTATTAATCATTTACCAATTAATTTCGTGCTAATCAACTAATTATTCCTGCTCTGTTTGTACAGTGGGGGACAAAAGGGGCCCAGCAACATATTTTTGGGGCCCTCGAGGAAATCTATCTGGCCATGAAAATGGAAATACTCAAGTAAGGTAGACTCAAGCACAGTACTTGAGTAAATATACTTAGTTACTTTCCACCACTTACTTTTTGTTGTATAACATTTTGAAAACATTTTGTTCTAAAAAAAAATATTCCATTACAACCTAAATACCTACATATACACCCATTTACTTAAGTAAATTATCTGAATACTACTTCCACCACTGAAGAGACTGTAGGTGAACTAAACAGAAAACATGTCACAAAATATTAGATCTGATCTCTTTAAATGGGTTATTCTGATTCTTATTTAAAGCTTATGTTTCATTGCAGTTCTCTTCTGAATCACAGAGAAGACAACTCTGCATTATGGAGACAGTACTGTGCTGTAGCACAGCAGTGCAGTGCAGTGCAGTGTGTACACCTGCATGGACTTCTTCCTGTGCTGCGGGACGTCTTCTGGCTCGCAAGCACGTCTGCTCGAAACTGGGAGAGTCGCCCAGTCTCCGCCTGTAGGTTGAACTCCACCTGGATCACCGGGCTGCGATTATTCAACAACAGCAATGAGGTAAAAAAAAAAAAAAAAAACATGTTGGAAACCCTCGGCGGTGTAGCAAGGTGCTGGTCAGCGTCTGTGCTGTTTTAAAATCGTGTTTCACAGAGTTTTACAGCGGTTTCTTTGTTTTAGCCATCGGTTAGCTGCTTCCGGAAAACAACCTTCACACAGGTAAGGCGAGTTTCGGTCTCGACTTGAGCAAATTGTGTGGCTTTATGTAAACAAACATGGCAGATAGCCGCCTCAGACTTTCAGCTTTGTACCAAGCCCGTGTTTAATGGTGAAATGTCTTTGTATGAGAGGAGAAAAGTGAGTTTCCGAGCTTAAGGTGTGTAGCATTTAGCGCTTTTTCCGCAGGTTATGTATGTGCTGAAGGTGAAACCCGTGTCCGTCCTGCTCTGACTTTACCTGCTACATCAACCACGATCCTGTCGGTCCGATACCGATGAAGCCCAACTTTTATGACCTCTTCTGTCATATGGATCTGTCACATAGGTGTAGTGATTAGGATAAAACCAACAGCGATGGGTTGACGTGGTGGGGGGTGGGGGGTGAGGGAGCGGGCGGGCAGTGAGTTATTTATGGTCCCCGTGACAACACACTAGTGGTGGAAGAAATACTGATCTTTTACTAAAGCGAAAGTAGTAATAAGCAACCACAATGAAAAATAAGATACTCCATTACAAGTCAAAGTCCTGCATGCAAAATCTTACTCAAGTCATTGGTACAGGAGTACTGGCAGAAAAAAGTAGTGAAGGTATCAAATGTAAAAGTATTAATTATGCAAAATGGCTCTTTTTATGGCATTGTATATTATTGTACTGTTAATGATTCATTGATGTGTACATGTAATGAGCATTTTAATGTTGTGAAGGCAGAGCTAATTTTAACAACCGTATGCGCTGGCGGGTAGTTTAAACTATAACAATGCATATTTTATCAACAGATTGTATGTTTTACATACAATGTACTGGACTAAAAAGTACAATATTTCTTCATGAATGCAGTTGAGTAGAAGTATAAAATTGCTTTAAATAATACTTAAAATACAAGTACCTCAATTTAACTACTCTTCTTGAGTAAATGTACTTAGTTACATTCCACTATTTCCTCTACATTAATTCTGTTCAATGCTTCTTTATTCTTGTACTCCACCACATCTGAGGGTAAAATATTAGCCTATACTTTTTATTCTACTAGTTATTTGACTGTTGCAGTTATTTGTTACTTTGCTGATAAAGATTTTACATACAAAATACATGATAACTGTATAAAATATGATGCATCCTGGGCTGTAACTTATGATTATTTTCATCTGTCAATTATTTTCTCTATCAATTGATCCATTCTCCACTGGTAACCATCACATGTGTGATGTTTCTGATTAACCTTGAGTAATATTTCAGTCAAGTAACAGTACTTCAGTTTGAGCATAATATTGTTGTATTTATGTCACTTTTGAAATAGCTGTTTCAAATACCCAGACAACAGAGGAAACACTTATTGTTGAATTCTTGGGAACTGAAGGAGCACCGAGAAAGTTGAATGAGATCTGGATCCCACAACTGTCATACTTGATCTTTATCTTTGAGGAAAATCAATCATCAGCTGAGTATTTGTATCTGTATTTTTGTATAATTCCTTGCGCTGTGAGAAAATGAGCAGAGGGCTTTGTTTATGACTGTAGCCTTCTGCCCTTTATGCGCAATACAATAGCGATATCCTAAGTGAAAGCCATGGGCGGTGTTTGTTAGGCATGTGCAGTCTGGCTGCTGTACAGTGGGAGGCAAAGGAGCCCTGTCAACATAAGATTAACCACCTCCATGTGTGACTTGTTCATGAGACACTGGTACAGCAATACACGTGAGTCTGTTGTGAGGCTGAGAATCCAGCTGGTTTGGTTGTGTTAATTTACAAAACTCTTTGGGGAATGATTGTTTTATCGTCAATCAGATGGTTTCTGTTGTTGGAGTTGTTTTTTTCCCTGCATATAGATACACAATGCAAATATTAGTCATCATATTTAAAGCAGGGGACTTTGCATGTTGTTGCTATAGCAACAGCCAATGCTTGTTACATAATTTCAATAATTTAGTTCAAAATAGATAAATAGATGGCATTTAGTTAATTTAGTTATAAATGAAATATTATGTTAAATTTAAGAGAGAAAATATCCATGCAGCTCCAGTGATAAGAAAACATGATAAAAGCGTAATCTTGGACGTGTTAGAGATTTCCACTCGATGAACTCATACTCAGACACTGATGAGTAAAGTCATTCACCTCTGGCTAGGAATTTGGTTCATTTTCCATTTCCTGTGCAGTATTTATGTGTAATCTCTATTAGTGATGCCAGACACCGGTGTAAGGTAGAGGGTAGACATGACACACCTCCTGTCTCATGGACTGGGGAGATTATTTGTCTAATGTGGCCTCACCTGTGTTCACTGAGGGAGTGGCAGCACATGTGACTCACTCATATCAACCATCGGTGCGAATCACTCGGCTCAGCTTTGATGGAACGCCACCATGGGTAATCCTCTGGAGATTGGAGGACACTGTAGGGCCACAGACATTTCTCCCAAAAGCTTAGTCTGTCACATGATTACAAGGCATTTCCACTTGGAAAAGGCATTCCCTCACCGAGCCTGGTTGTAATGAACTTTGGTTGGCTCTAAACCTGTAAAAAAAAAACACATTTCACCCCATCTATTGCAAAACTGTCTCATTGTGCTAGTTTCATAAACATAGACTTTAACTCTTTTCAGAAATGTTGTTTGAGGTGTGGGAGTTTGGGAAATATTTTTCTTCCTCTAGTGTAGGATTAGTATTAATCTATATCTGTACTTGTTATGTAGTCAGAAGATAATAAAAAATGTCCCATAGCCCAAGGTTATGTCTTTAGGTTGCCTGTTTTAGCTGCAGCTAACAATTATTTTCATTATCGAACTGCCAGTCCATTTCTTTATTCATTGATTTTGGCTGGTCCAAAACCTAGAGATGAGAAATGATCAAGCAACTGTTAAGGAATGTTTGGCTGTTTTTCTTGATAAATAAAATTAATCAATTAAAACAATTGCACATTAGTTTTCTGTTCATCGACTAATTGTTTCATCTCTTTATTAAGTCCAGGCAAGATTTCATGTACAGTGTCAGAAAATTATAATTTCCCAAAGCAAGAAGGTGACGACTTCAAAATGATTGTTGTCAGTCAAAAACCCAAATATACTCACTTTACAGTGATATAAAGCAGAGAAAAGCAGCAAGGCTTGCATTTTAAAAACTGTCAGTAGTGAGTAATTGATACAGTGACAAATCAATCAACCGATTAATTGTTTCTGTGCTACACTTTTTTACATTGTGCTGTACCATTTTGACTAATCGCTGTTTCACATGGAGGATTCCAAGAAAGATGAGCACCTTTATTGATTTTGTGCTGCATCCTTGAGAAACATAGCGATGTACTGCTGTGTTAGTGTGGTTATAGTGGGCATTAATAGACAGCTTCAGAGCCAGCTGCCTTTGGAAAGACTGTGTTCAGCTGTGACTTCCAGAAAGCAAATAGTACACCTAAGCGATAAAGAAGGAATTTGATGGGAGTGAAGGTGCGAGTGTTTTAATGACAAGAGAACCAGCTGTGCTCTTTTGCATTAGAGCAGCACAGTGTATTCAATGTAAGTGTGTATCTCTGGTTTCTCATTCGTGCACAAGGTCGTGTAGTTTCTAAATAAATGGAGCACAGCCTGGTTTCTACTGTGCTTCTCTCCCTATGCTACAGGATCCATGACCCCTATCCATTACAGGAGGAGGTATCACTTGCACAAAGTAAAGACAAAGAGAGAAAGAGGGCCTGTAAGACCTCAGCCAGACTGCATGTATGTGGAAAGATTTGTGTGCACACATATTTGTAATCAGGTTGTGTGTTTGCAATCAGTCATTCAGCTACTGAGAGTACTTTACCTGTGGTAGTGCAACATCAGCAGTCTAAGTCCCCACCCCCAAGCGTGCGTACACACACACACACACACACACACACACACACACACACACACACACACACACACACACACACACAGCCATTGACAGAGGCCTTTTCTCTCACTCTGCCTAGTTACACCAATTCCCCTCTGCATTCCTCACACCGGTGCAGTCAGAGCTCATACACATCCACACTCATGCACACAAATATGTGTCCACACATACGCACACCCCCACACACACACACACACACACACACACACATTATTCTGACGGTGTGCTGCTGGAGAGGCAGGGCTCTGGTTTCATTCGGGCTTCAGGCAGCTGCTAGGCTAGAGTCTTGTGTTTGCGTGTGGTGGCTACTGGGCGCTTGACAACAAAGATATCATCTCGGGTGAGTCGCTCCAAGGTAATCACACTGAAGATAAAGCAGTCCTTTTGTGCCTGAAATCTGGACTGGGGTCACAAAGGGAAGGAAACTGAAGGTATTGAGTTCATTGTGGTGGCTTATTTAGTCTTTTTCACATGTGGTACTGTGCAAGTGAAAAGTTTTCTATACTCCTCTGTATATTTAGGATGAAGTCATAGCTCTTAAGGTGGTATTTGGAGGTGCTTGGTGCTTTTCTGTCCCACTGTAGCCCCTCAGACAGCATGAAGTGATGCCTGTCAAAGTGTTTAGGTCAAAAGTCCTTGCATATGTTGTAAAAAAGCTATTTATTGCAACTTAATGAGATTTTCATTTAACCATTTTGAACAGTAAATGAATGTTCACCCTTTTCATTCCATTAAAAATATGCTGTGGTCTCTTTGAAGCCCTCTAACCCTACTTCCAGTAGATGAAGTCAGTCTTGAAGGTGGATTTCATGAGATCAAACTCAGTGTATTTGGTGTGATTCATGAAATGCCACTTTATTTGTTAATGTTGTGGAGTAAGCAGCCAAAAGTTTCACCAAAGAATGCTGTTGCTAATCAGTACTCTCCTTATGAGAGGGGAATTAAAGGAGATTAAGTGCGGCACAAAGGGATGGAGACCGCTGCTGATTGGGTGCAAGGGGTCATTAGTGATGGGGGTTGCATTTCTGCCCAGTTCATTCAAAATTCGTACTCTCGTGTAGTGCCATGCCTTTGTTCCCTCCTATTAGCAGGGGTTTGACTTTAGTCCGGTTCTCCTGCCTCATTTCACAGAGTTTAGCCCTTTCTGTGTGAGAACGGTGACTTTTAGTTGAGATGAGAATTCCCTTTGTCCCTCAGGAAACTCGCTGAGAGGAAGCAGCTGCGGCTTGCTGCCATATTGCTGCTGCTCTGTGGATTTGTCATTTCCTGTGGAGCTGGCCAGTATGAGTAGAAATAGTTCAACTTCTGCAGTAGACCTTACTGTGTTTCTCTTTCTCAACAGAAAATCAAAATGAAGTCGAGGAGATACCTTTGTTGACTCCGGATCATTGTTTCACTTTCACCATTTGAATGGATTCAGCTTTGGACATGCAGACATAGACTTACGAAGTATACTGGACACATTTTCTGAGGAGATAAGAGGACACAGATCTGAGGTTTGGACTGAGCTCCCTCAGCCAATGGCTACATTAGAAACCAAAGCGACCGGCAGCAGCAGCACTCCAGGTCTCTCATGGGCGCGGGTATGTAAGGAGTGTGGCCAGCAGCACGAGAGCCAGGACAGTCACCTGTACGAGTACCAGGACGAGGTGGACGATGAGCTGGTTTGCCACATCTGTCTGCAGCCCCTGCTCAGACCTATGGACACCCCTTGTGGCCACACTTACTGCTTTCATTGTCTGAGCAACTTCTTGAAAGAGCAGGACTTCTGCCCTGTGGACCGCCAGCGGCTGCAGTTACATCAGTGTCGTCCCTCCAGCCTGCTGGTCAGGAACCTGCTGGACAAGCTGACTGTGATGTGCCCTCACTCTGAAGAGTGCCAGCAGCAGATGCAGCGCTGTGAGCTGCAGCCTCACCTGCACAACAGGTAAAGATCTGGGGGGTGGGGTTGTTAACAGGTCATTACAGCAGTTTCAGTGGATATTGTTGGACTTTAACGGGTTAAAATGATTTGACACAAATGGCAAAACCACACATATCAGCACTTTTCACTATCAACATACTCTTTCACCCAGAATATAAAGACAATGCATGGATGATGTAAGAGAGGGGGAGACAATCCTGGATTACATCAATATGTCAAGAGGTACTGGGAAGTTTTTAGCAAGGATTCAAGGAATTAGAGGCACAGGTTCAGGGGAATACCAAGGCATATAAATCTTATCAGGGAAAACCTGTGAATACATCATCGTATACTATAGTACCAGGTGGTTGGCATATCAACAAAGCAGCGAGTACAGGATAATAATTTGTAGCTACAGTAGATAATGCTCTATAAACAAAACCTCACACCTGACAATGACAGTTACTTTCACTGTTGAATTACATTACTGAAGATCCAGTGTGTTTAATGTTATGTTGATGTTTGTCTCTGTCGCTCTCTTTAAAAGGTCATTAAAGGAACAGGTAGAAAGATCAGGAAATATTATTTGATAAATATTATTTGCTTTCTTGCCATGTTAGATGGAAAGATTGATAGCACTTTCGTCACTTTTGCCAGATGCCAGATAGCTTAGCTTAGCTTAGCTTAGCTTAGCTTAGCTTAGCTTAGCTTAGCTTAGCTTAGCATAAAGACTGAAAGTAAGGGGAAACAGCTAGCCTGGCTTTGTTCAAACGTAACAAAATCGTAGTTTCGGGGCCTCTAAAGTTTGTTGACTCCTTACAAAATTGAAGTGTAAAACTGAGTCGTTATTTTTTGTATGAATTAAACAAACAAGACGTAACATGCTAATTAACTTGAGAGATGCCGCCAGGTTAACTGTATCCCCGTGTTTCCAGTCTTTGTGCTAATCTAACAATATCACACAGCAAAAAAAGCAAAGACACGTATTTCCCAGAATTTCTTTCATTTCTTAAAGTAAAGTGGATTTGTTAAAGTATATTGTGAATTGTATCAAATATCTGCTATCCACACACGTACTGCATGCACATATCTCCACTTGAAGATAAACATAATATCTTATTTTTATCAAGTCATGACAAAAGAATTCTGACTGCTTCTCAGAAATGTAAAATTACTGTCACTAGCCTTGTTTGTTTGTTTGTTATTCCTGGTAGCGGAGGTCAGTCGTCTTGTTTCTCACATGGCCAGTGTGGTGCTTATCATCCCAGCCATTACGCAGTCAGTTGTGGGTGGCAGATTGTCATGCTGCAGCCTCTCTGTGCAAACAATGAGGAGGCAAAGTTCAGGCATGAGGAGCAAGCAGCAGTCCCAGCACTGTGACTGACTTAATCAGACTCAACCTGTCTCACCCAGACACCCTGCAATGCAGTGAAATTGTCTATTCATCTGCATAGTGCTTCTCTTTTAAATTTTGTGCAAAAAGACACTCTTTCTCTCTTTCTGTCTCCTCTTTCCCCTCAAAAAACACATAGTATTTATTTTCTTTCTCCCTTTTTCTGTGGCCATCCATTCCTGCCACTCCTACTAACCAGAAACATTCAAGATCATCCCTTTTCCATTATAAAGATGGATATTCACATGTGTTGTTTCTAAAAGGAAAGAAAATGTCAACCATCACCCATGTCTTTCCACAGATGTCCTGTTTTTAGAAGACTAAGGGAGGAAGCAGAGAAGAGGAAGAGGCCCTCGTGGAATGAGTTAAAAGGACGTAAGGGTGACGGGGAGTCGTCTGGTGATGCCAAACATTCAGCAACTCTGTCTCGAAATCCCACCCGCGATCAGCCCGAGCCTGGTCTGATTAATCCTGCCTATGAGGAAAGTGAGGACGGTATGAAGTCATCTTTATCTTTTAGAACAGCCATCATTATAACAGTGACCCAGTCCCCCATGTCTGTGTTTAGTGCAATCGTGATAATTAGAGTGGCCACTGCTTAGGAAATGACCACTTCTTAGGAAAAGATTTTCAATAGGACGCTGGCGATACTGTGTTGCAGTGACAGGGAACAATGTTTATAGAAGCTCTCAGATGTAACGGAAATAGTTTCCCCACCAGGTTGATTGCAGAAAACCTAAATCCTCATGCCCGTCCCCTTCAGTGGGGGCGGTTGTCAGAGCACACAGACGGGAATTGCTGATGTTTTTAGCCTCAAGGTTTTGATTCTGAGTCTGTCACAGGTGAATCATCAGCCTTGCTGTAGAGACATGTACCAGCTCACAGACTTTTTTTTTCCAACCTGAACCAGACTCATCACAAAGAAAAACCTTTAAAGCCCCTTAAAAGCCAGTTCCACGGACCAAAGTCCACTTAAACATAGTTTCCAGGCAACTGGCAAACGGTTTCCCCGGAGAAGTTTGCTTTGTTGTCAATATCTTATCTATTTCAGTCAAATTACTGCTGTATGCTCTTAAAATCAGTAAAGACCTAAGTGAAATGAGCTTATACTTTTAGATTTAATCATGTCATATATGTACTGATTGTTGTTTTTTTTCCAAATGTCAGCATGTTGACTCATCCAGGTTATTCTATCTCTGCAGTCGGATCAATTCATGCCTTTGTGACGCTGGTGGGACGAAAAAGATTGGCAGCACTGCTGAGGAGTTAGCTGTAGCGTGTAAATACTTGTATGGTCTGTGTGTACGCACAGACCAGCTCCAAGGCTGAGATACTCTCTGTAGTTCAGTCTGCTGAAACGCTCGCTATCTTACTGTGATGATAACACGCTGAGGTCAACTCTGTTTCACTGTTTCCTGTCTATGTTACCGTTCGGTGTGAAATGTGTAAACAAACGTCACCTCAAAAGCAGGTTATTGGTTCACAAACTACATTGTGTAATTTCATGCATGTCTCTACATGGAGAGATATACTCCAGAATCTTGCTCAGTAAAGTGGGAGTTAGATGAGAGGATCAGTATTTATCTCTGTGCCTTCAGTAAAGAGATTGGTACAAGATGTGCTCTATTTATGTCAACTTGGAAAATGTCAGAGTATTCCTGTAACTTCCTTTATGCACTCCATGGTTTCCTATGAGGTCCTTTTTTACTTTTACTGTGAGGGATATTACTATTACATAAATGTTGTTCTGCCATTTTAAAGGATAATTCCAGTTAGTTACAATGTGTGTCATATTTCCATAGCTCCGGCTGTCACTTCTGCAGGTTGTAGTAACATTGTTAAGTAACTGCTGAGATCTGGGAACATGGCGATGTCACTATAAGAAAGTCTAATGTGGTCAAATGATCCAAACCACTTTATTTGGTTGGTCAAAGCAAACGTGAGGGCACTTGAAATAATCCCTCACTGCACAGGAAAACTGTGTGCATGCATGACAGTAAGTATGGGAGGATTCGTTTGAATCAGGATGTTTACAAAGAACAATTTGGGCAAAGATTTTACCCTTTTCCTGTGTTTCCTCTTCCATATAAGTTTATCTAACCTGGGAGTTTCTGGAGTCATGTCATGAAAGGAGAAGCAGAGAAAACCATTTGAAAATGCTGACGTGGGGCTTTCAGTTATATCTGTACACCATAAAACATTTTTGAAAGAAATTTTTAAAACTGTATTATTAATATTTCCACTGATTTACAGGTATAATTAGATTTTCAATGAAAAAGAAATACAAATGCAAGTTGGGATTAAATCGCTTCATGTGTAAATTGACTGTATGTCTCACATTTTTCTTCTTTTTTTGTGTATAAATAGTAAAGGAATATTATTACAGCCATGAACAATCAATATTTGGATTGATTGTGCCAATGTCATTTTTCTTGTATTTTGGGTTCCAATGCCAATACTTTGTTAAACTGAGAAAATGTTATGTCAGACTTGTAGCTAGAGAGATTAAACCTGTTTAATATCCTGGATGCTTATGTTTGTTGCCACTGTTGGACTTCTTTTCAGTGATGTTACCACATTCCCAGATTTCAGCTCATCAGTTTGAAGGGTACAACGTAATAACTGCTGGTTGGAATAATGACAAAAAGGAGGAAAATAAGACCCAAGTTGTAGTAGACCAGGAAAATGTCTTATTTTTTGGCTAGCACACTGATCTTCAAACTGTATTATCATGTGTTAATCAAGGGCAACAGAGCTGTGAAATGTGGAAAATTTGCTTCATGAAAGATGGAAATGCAGCCATATTTATTCCACCTGGTTCTCTGTTTCTCTTCCCTCCAGACAACACACCTCTGCGGTCTAGTCTGGTGGCCGAGGCCAACATGGTGGAGCTGTTCAGAGAGCCGGAGGAGGAGCTGGGCTTTCGCATCGTGGGGGGGAAAGACACACCTCTGGGGAACATCGTCATCCAGGAGATTGTGCGGGACTCGCTAGCAGCTCGTGATGGCAGACTGGCCCCTGGGGATCACATCTTAGAGGTGTGAAAGACTCATAAACCAAATGAGGGAGATGCTGAGATAACATAGCCCATCACGTCAAGTATTCATCTCCTCCTCAGCATAGGAATTCAAACGTGTTCTGGTAGTGTGACACAGTTCAAATCAACATATTTCTGCATAAACACCTTGTCAGTGCGTTCTCATGGCATTGTAAACACCATGTTTTTTAGCAGGGAATGGGAAAGTAGATATTCAAGATAAACAAGTTTTAGCTCCATGGTAACGAGGAGTGGTTTGTACTGCCGGGAACAAACGCGTAAACGACTTCACCTGGTTGCTTTCACTGATTGACTTCCCGCCTTTCTGTGTAAGAGAGTCAATGTTCAAACATGAAGTGGACTAAAATTGAATTTTGTTATTTTTGAAAGGGTTATGTAACCAGAGTTATTATGAAACTATGTCATGTGTTTTCTTGAAGTGGTGATAACTTATTTTGCCATTTAAGGCTGCAACGGTTACTGTATTTTGAGTTTTGATTAACCTGCCGATTACTTTGTCAGTCAGACCTAGAAAAGCAGCTTTGACAGTCTCTTCATCTAAACATAGGACACAAGCTGACCAGTATTTGTTATGTTCTGATCATTGTAGTGCATGAACCAGGCAAAGAAAGTTAGTTACAGTATAAAAGTGAGCTGTCACAAATTTAAACAGAATTAAAAGTCAACTTTAGACTTCCACTCTTTGGCTGACAGTAACACAGTTATCTTCCAGGAAAAACACCATAATTAATTAAATTCACTTTTCTGCTTGATAAAAAAAAAGTTTCACTGACTGTGTTGTTACTGTTTCTCTCTGTGATGTTGTGTATCCAAGGTGAATGACGTCAGCTTGGCTTCAGTCCCCCACGCCCGGGCTGTTGCTGTGCTGCTGCAGCCTTCCCTCCTCAGACTCACCGTGATGCAGGAGAAAGGTTTCAAATCAAGGGATCCACGGGCTGATCATCACCCCTCATCTTCCATCATATCACACAATCCCCACGGCAACGCTACCTCCAATCACAACCCCGGCACAGTCCTCCAGGTGATGCTGATGAAGAGTCAGCGCACCGAACCGCTCGGCATCAAACTCATCCGTAAGTCGGATGAGAGCGGGGTTTTCATCCTGGACTTGCTGTCGGGCGGTTTGGCAGCCAAAGACGGAAAACTGAAGAACAATGACAAAGTGTTGGCCATTAATGGACATGACCTGAGGCATGGTACACCTGAGAGCGCTGCCCAGATCATACAGGTATATTTAATATATATTATTAACTCTCTGCATTATCAGTGACTATTCTTTAAAACATGCCATAACTTTGAAGATTGATTTCATTCTTTCTACGCTGCCATTGTTTTGAGTTCATTTTTGTATATTGAACATTTGTGTAATAATGTGATTGTGAGAATGGACTCATCTGTTCTGAGCTATGCTCTGAGAAAATCAACCCAAGAGCAAACAACACACCAACAGGGGACACTACGAAATGAATCATCTGAATTATGAAGTTGAATCATTAAAACAATAGCTTTTCAGCTGGCAGTTCTTATTGATTGTTAGTTTGTATGCATCTGCTGTTCCGGTTTCCCACAAGCATTTGAATGCAGCACCAAGGAAGACTTACAGAACAACCACTGCTTCCAATTACCGTGCAATGATGTAGCATTAACAAAACAAACCTGAAAGCCTTGAGCCTCGCTAGCTCGTAAGCCGCAGCGCTCATTACACCACACAATGTGAAAGTGATTAATAAAAGCAAACATGATAGTCTTATAAGTAGTTTTGCTACTAATGTGACAAATTTAACAGGATTTAAACCTAAAGAGCCTGAATTTACTCCATCACTGGTAATATGCCGGTCATGAGAGCTTTAGGTCTGATAGTGGCAGTCAAGGGAAAGGTCCGGGGTCACAAAATTCCCATAAAAAGAATCTTGAGGGGACTTTGAATATTCATATAAAATGTCATGGCTTAGTGGATGGTTCTTGTCCAGATATCCTGCTCTAAAGGAAAAGTGACAGATGGGCCAAATATTACCATAGACTCCACTGCTGGCAGAGTAAAAATAAAGTTGTCTAAGTGCATTAAATGTGATGGATTAGTCGAGCAAGTTTTGGGTCTCTGCGAGTTGAATTCCATCCAGGAATTACTCTGAACCAAGGTGCTGCCAGAAGGTAGCAAATCAGTCTAAAGCGGAATATCTATGGCATGAGAAATGGTGTTGTATATGTATTTCCTGTGGAATTAATTGCTTTTCTGCAATTAGGCCAGTGAGGTGCGTGTGAACTTCGTGGTGATGAGACCTTCAGAGTCTCAGGAGGAAGGAGGAAGCAGCAGAGAGGGACAACACAACAGAGCAGCCAGGAGGGCGCCTGAGCCACAGTACTTCAGACGCCAGTCCACCTACATGAAGGTAACGCAGAACATTTCCTAACAAATGAATGCTCAGACTAAAAGAGATTGCTCCTGACCTCCTTTTTTATAGAAAACATCTATAAATCCACCTTAATTTTTGCCCTGGACAGCTGTTGACAGCTGGAATTGTAACCTGTTTTTAATCCACTAACCACAATGCTGGTTGCAGTATATTACAAGCTTTACATGTTTCTATTAACACAGTGTAGTTGTGATAAGCTCCTTTGTCAGTCACACTCAGTTGTACCATGCACTGTCAGTAGTAAGAATAACCCCCCCCCCCCCCCCCCCCCAGTTGGGGGTGAGACGCTTTGAGAGCAGACACCTGCGTCGGTGAGCAGAGATGAAAGCCATTCTCTGGGGCCTCCCTCTGTCCTGATCAAAAGGCCTGGGGTGCTGCTCACTCTGCCGCTACAGAGCCACTGTCTTGTTGTTTTTTGGTTGTTTCTTTGGGTGGTAGAGGATCAAAGCTGGTAACAGTTAGCTTTCGCCTGCAGAGTCGAGCCTTTTCGTCTTGCTGGGGGGGATGGGTTCCCTGCTGGGGGGAGGAAGAGCCCCCACCTCCCCCAAGCTTCCCTTCTGATGGTTTACAGACTCCAGAGAGAAACAAGGAGGCTGGTTGAAACTGTCATTTTCCACACATCTTTTCCACTACGAGAGCTGAGTGTGGATCCTCACACGTTACCTCCACCCTAACCTCTCAGCCCCATCTCAAATGTTTCACATTTGTTTCTACGAGTGGTTTTGTGAGGGGAATCAATTAAGTCAAAGGATCCTGGAGAGGCAATTTATTTGACAGCACAGGCTTCATGCATGTTATGTCAGACAGGACGGGATAAAACAATTATTCTTGTGGAGAATTTGTTACACACGTCCTGACCAAGGCTTGCATAATTTTATACATCCACATAGTGATGTTGATCAATATGTTTGTAACTGTTTCATATTAATTTGTCTCATTGTTCATATAGGATCCTCCAGGTGGGTTTTCCAGCCAGGAGAAGACTGTGAGCCTGAAGAAGGAGCCTCGGCTTTCCCTGGGCATCACCATTGCTGGGGGGAGGGACTGTCGCAGCCGCCTGCCGGTTTACATCACAAGTGTGCAGCCTGTCGGCTGTCTGCACCGAGATGGCACCATCAAAAGAGGTACGAGCAGCATCTGGCGATCTGTGATTTTGACTTTTAATAAAGAATTTTATTTGAAGATGATGATGTTATAGATATTGTTCATTGTGGCTGCAACTAATGATTATTTTCATTACTGGTTAATTTGTCAGATTATTTTCTTGATTGATTGATTCTTGATTTTTGCTTAAATAAGTATTTTTCAATTACAAAGATAGTTGTTAACGAATTTAATATCAGTCAATAAATGGATTAATCAAGTGATCATTCAGCCCTTGTCATGACCAAAACATGCAGGAATGGGGTCAGATCATTATATTCAAACTTAATTGTGTTGAAATATTTGGATAAATACACTATAACAGCAAGAAACTGTTAACGGGAAACAATTTCCAGTTCTGTTTTCAAATCTATTACAATGTGACAAATGTCTGAGTAAGAAAAGGGCAGTTCTTTATTCTTTAATACAATATGTTGCATTGTCCATGTCCATGTTCACATCGTCATGTTTCCTTAGGTGACATTCTGCTGAGCATCAACGGTGTGGATCTGACCCAGTTGACCTACAATGAGGCGGTCTCTGCGCTGAAGGCTCAGACAGCTCAGTCCCAGGTGGTGCTCCGTGTCATCCAGACCCTCTCCGAGGACTCAGAGGACGAAACCGAGGCTGCCAACAAGGACGAACTGGACGCTATGGACGATCCACGCGATGACACCCTCAACTGGACGCCGCTGTGGACTCGCTGGTTGGGATTGCCCAGGTGGAACAGCTTTCATTAACACCACTTTAATTGTATTCTGTTCATGTTTATGTGAAAGAGTTAGCTCTGACTCTGCCCTCATCGTTTCAGTCACATGCACTGGTGCCGAGACATTGTCCTGCACAAGACCAACAACGAGAGCTGGGGCTTCAGTATCGTCGGCGGCTACGAGGAGAGCCACGGCCAGCAGCCTTTCTTCATCAAAACCATTGTGCCTGGTACACCTGCTCACTTTGACGGACGCCTCAAGTAGGTTAACCCCAATTTGACCTCCATATGATGCAATCAGCTCCCGTATTCTGTCATTCTGGCCACTCTCCACGTTAATCACCTGTGCTTCCCTCCAGGTGCGGTGATGAGATCGTTGCAGTGAATGGAGCCACAACAGTGGGAATGAACAACTCATCTCTCATCCCCATGCTCAAGCTGCAGAAGAATAAAGTCACACTGACTGTGGTGTCCTGGCCTGGCAGTCTAGTGTAGAAAACACACATTCACTGTCCTCTCTCTCTCTCTCTCTCTCTCTCTCTCTCTCTCTCTCTCACTCACACACACACACACACAACAACACGCAACACACACACACACACACACACACAGCCCTGTTCAGCTGCATTCTTGACTGGGCCACTCACTGTCGCCTCCATATTTGTTTGGTTACATTCTTGTTAATCTTTTGAGCAGTTATGTAACACAGAACATGTGTGTACATAAAAGCCATCCTGTGTATAATGGTACCTGTTTGTCTCAGTGCTCGGTGCGCTCGCACTGCAGTTTAGTCAGGGTGCAAAAATGATGACAATCAGTGAATTATATACTGAGGACAAACTGGAAGGATCAATTTTTGAAACACCTTTTTGATCCTCCTCTGAAGCTTTATCTATATTTTTGCTTACCTGTTGGATAATGTTATCATTTAGTCATGACTTGATTCAAGTGATTCACGTTAACAGCCTCCAAAGATGAAATGTAGAGCTTACAATACAAGTAGACAGTTGTAATGATGAATTATAGATCACTTTGTATAACAAAATGGCTGCTGATTGTAAAGACCAATGCCAAAGACAGAAAAATCATCCTCTCTTGTACCTGTTGTATCACTAGTGTGATTTTATCAACTTAATTTAAATTGCACTTTGAAAACATAAAATCAACAGCTACGGCCACATTGTGTTACAAAAAGAGACACATTTTAACAGTGGGAGTGTTGGAAAGCTAAGGAAAAGATCTACAGTCACCTTTGGTCTAACACTTTGGTGCTGGCAGGCTTAAAAGAGGCTGGAAAATCTGAGGTCCAGTCTTATCTAAGCCATAAAAGTAATCATCAATCTACATGGAACACTTAATCTGAACTGCATTGGTAAAAAACACATTGGATCCAAGTTTATTTCCTGTTAGCTCTTGATTTTAGCAATGCTGCAACAGGAAATAAACATGGACACAGTAATGTTTTTGTTTCAAACTGTGAGTGGGTCTATTGAAGCAAATAAATATGTGATGGATGTTTAGTTTTTATCAAAGTGTTGTTAATCCTAAACGAGACAACTTCTCATTCATCTTTTGATTTATTGATTGATACATGTACCAGTGCTCTGTATTTATTTCAAATGATATAATGCCTCATATTGAAAAACTCTGATAAGCGGGTGCCTTGTTGATATTGAAGGACAAACGAGAATGTATACTTGCCTTAAATTGCCACTCTACCAAAATGTGTTTTCCCTCATTATTTCCTCTTATTATTTCCTCTCATTATATTCTGTTTAAATGAATTCAAAGGTGAATGGCCTAGTCCAGATAAAATGGTTTTACCTCGTTCTTTTTGTTTCAGCACATTCCCAGTGGCCTTCCTTGTGTCTTAACTGATACAAGACTTATTGAACAGTTCAGAGTATTGTCACAGAATTAGTTTTGAGTCAGAGTGGCATTAGTTATAAATATTAGTGTATGCCTTGGCCCATCCACTATTTCATTATGTTCAATAAAATCATATTAAATCATGTTGTTCTTCTGTTTATCAAGTCTCTAATTGCAATGTGGGGGATGTCACTTGTCTACAGTGGCATGAATGGTAAAGCAGCTCTGGCAAGATCCCAGGAAAAAAAAAACATGGGGGAGGAAGTTCCTCAGTACAGCAATCCAGCAGTTTTCTTTAGTACAAAAAGTGAATCTCAAATATTTCATCTTATACAGCTGATGTGGTGGGAAATGGTGCAGAATCACTACACAAGTTAAATTTTATATAAATGTTACTGAGCTGCTATTGGTGAACAAAAATATGATCATATTGGATTTGTTATGCCACATTCCCTCAGAACATAGTATTTACAGTAAACTACAATATGAGTGTAAATAGTGCTTTACCAGAGGCAGAAATGTCCAATAAGTTTTACAGTGACCCCTGGTGGACACAAACTGACTAATTTTAGACTCTTTCAAAACATTTTCCCCCATATGACATGTTTGCTCAGAAGTCATTATACATACATGCGAAGTCAAAGGTGACCAAACATAGGTTCTTAAAATGTCGAGGTACAAAGAAATTCTAATGCATTAAATAAGACTAATAATCATACTGCAGTGAGTGTGTACAGAGTGTAAAGTTCAAGTTTGTGAATATCTACATGTTTAAACACACACGCACAGGAGTGCTTGACTTTCTCACTCATTCACAGCCTCTCCTGGTCTATCACACACACACAGACACATTTGTGTTTGTGTATGCAAACAGACCAGACAGTAAGACCAGTACAACTAGCTATAAAAGCAGTAAGTACATATGAAAGTCACACACACAGACACTCACCATAGTATCAGTGGTATGCCGCATGGATAGCCAGTGGCGAAAGGGTTACTAGTTTACTAAAAGTCATAATACTACAATAGACAAATACTCCGGGGCAAGTTAAAAGTCCTGCATTCAAAATTCTACTGGTTTTCTGTGGCTCCCCTGTTCAATTTGTCACAGGACTTCAGTGGTAAATCCCAGCAGAGATTTGCACAACTCCAACCAGAGCAGGTCCAATCAGCCACATAACTGAGAACACCTGTGTAGGTAAAACCAAAGTAACTACTCACTATACTTGTTAGATAATTGTATTGGAGTATAAAGGTTCATATTTCCCTATGAAATTTAGTGGAGTGAAAGTATAAAGCACCATAAATTGGAAATACTCAAGTAAATTACAAGTAACTAAGAATTGTTCTTAAATTGTTACTGAAGTTCAGTACTTACAATACAGGGTAAATGTACTTTTCACCACTGTGATTAATGACGATTAAGCGGATAGCTGACAGAATACAATGTACGTAATGCACTTTACATGGTGTATATCAAAGTTAATTTAAATAAACCTGCATGTCACAACTAATATTTCTCACACGTGAAATTACATTACATGTTTTGGGATTTCAAAGATCAATTAGCCAAATTCTTCAGGTCAAGAATGTAGAAATGTTAAAAGAATAAATTACTTGACTAAACCTTGTGCTTATCATAAACTGCACTACATTTAATAATGCTCTTCAAAATTAACTAAAACTAGAGGTGGCAGTAACTTGAGTTGAAACTATTAGAACAGTGGTGAAGTAAAGATTACTGCAGTAAAAACCTCTTTAAACAGGGACAGACTGTGAATGTGAAAACAAAAAAAACAAAGGACCATAAAATCAGCCCCAGTGAAGACCCAGTATTCGGGGGTTGTAGTGAGATACAGCAGAAACATGATCCTGTATTTTCTACTCTCTGACCGCTGATCCACAACGTTAGTAAGCAGAAACAGGTTTCGGTAACAGCATTCCTTAGTTTTACAAATGTGTCGAGTAATTGCAGGCTGTCTTGTTAAATTTAACAATTCAACACCTTGTTAAACATGACTAATAGCCACATTTCTGGTAGTAGGGCAGCATGCTGTGGGCAAAGTACATTAGCAGAGGTCCACAATGATCTGTTTTTACTCAGGTGACACATTGCTCATTGAACGTGACAGATATTTCAAATGAAGGATGCAGCAGCAAAGAGAAACCAAATCGACAATTTATTTTCTCTCTCCATAGGGATCAGGTCATCATGACAAACATTTACAAGAATTGTAAGGGGGACAATACTGGGAGGAGGATTTCAAATCTCCTTTGTACAAGAGAACAGATTTTAACCTGTACTTCTCTGTGTTTCACCAACTAATCCAGAGGCACTCTAATACAACGCAATACAGCAATCTCTTGACCAAGATTCAGGAAAATAATTTTAACACTGGACAGAAAGACTGAAACAAAGGAACCATCTGCTCAACACACCACGTACTGTTAATGCATGTGCTCCATAACACATCAGGAGGACCAAACACAGCACAGGGAAGAGTACAAAACTATAAAAATCAATGCATTAATGGGACAAATTGGGAAAAAAAATGAATGGAAGTGCAGAATTCAAATCATTATCTTCCAACTGCATGTCCAACATCAAAGCTGGAGATGCGACCATCTCCAGCTTTAACAGACGAGGCTTCATTGAATGTCATCTTCATTGGCAAAAACCACACGGCAACAAGCACAGCAGCTGTTGTTATTGGATGAATATTCAGGATGTATTATAATCTAAAATCCTGACTTTCGTTTGCGCTCAAGTGCAATAATCAGTCCTAACTCTGGCATCATGTACATTGTAACTATATGGCTTACAAGGTAAACAGGTCCATATAAACTAGAAAGGTACGTAGACATCTTTCAATAATCAAAACTATGGTACAGCAATATATTGGCAAAAAAACTAAAGACCTAAGTAACTTTATGTAAACAATGGTATACCACTGTACAGCTTATCCTAACATGATATTTACAGGTCAAGTTCTCTTACTAGCTAGTTCCCATGTACAGAGGGTTACATGTAAAGAAAAAACACAGGGTGATGACGTACACTGTACGTTAGGCAATTTCAACCATCCCATCAACTTGCAAAGAATTGGATTCAAAGTCAAAGAGAGGAAACCCAACAAACAGCGTTTGAATCTACAGACTTGTTGAATTACCCAATGCCTTCCTCCTCCTGTTACATGTAGAGTTATTTAAAAAGTCATACATAAGGCAAGGATAGTTAAGGAAGGTGGAGGCATCACATTCTTTGCAAGGGATTACTGATATAATAGATGGGATACAGGTTGATGGTTCTTTGGGGTAAATGCACTTTTCGAGAGTTTCACTTGTTTGTCACATAACAAAAACACATCAGAGTGCAACAAAGGGGACATGTCTAGTTCTGTCGGGAAAATGTGCAAAATCTGCTCTAAAGCAAAGTGACAGTGTTGCAAATTCTAATGTACAAGGTACTGGGAAATGTACAGGTCGTCACGATAGACGCCGCTGCAGACCCTTATTTCAACATACTGTATATACAAGGCACTAAGGATAAGATTCAAGGGCCACACGTCCAGTCTGTTAACGGCCTCCTCAGTCCGGTCGGAGTATAGGATATTTGGGTAAGAATTCTATAAGAATCACCTGCAGAGAGAAAAAAGGC